GTGCTCCACAACTCTATAGGCCGGGCTGTGCGCGGGTTGACTGCACCAGCTCCCGGCGCGGTGAATCTGTCTGCGGCTCGAGCCTCGGAGCTCGGGCGCTCTCTCGGGCACGAGGGCGGCCCGCGGCGGGGCCCCGGCTCGACCGGCCGGCCTCTCGCGCCCCCGGGCGGGCGACCCGCTGTACAGAGCCTTCCTGGAGGCTGGCGACCACAGGAACATCTTGCACTCTTGACAAAACGCAGCCCTCTCCTGCTCCTTCGCTTCCACCTCCGCCGCCTCCTTCTCCGGTGCCCCCCCTCTTCCGCCTCTCTCCCCCCTGGCTGCCCCCCACGGCCCAGGGAGGACCCAGGGATGCCGAAAGCGGCAAGCAGAAACCAGGGCACCTCTCCCTCTTGCCCCCGCTTCTCCAAAGGCCGGCTCCTCTTGGTCGTTGAGTGGGGTTCGACTACACGTGAGAGTGACCTTTCGCCGGAGTGACCTTTGGTGCGGGCCCAATGGGGTCCCCCGATCGCCGAGAGCGATGGGGCAGTAGCGTCTTGCGCGCTTGTGTTTGGCCCCGTCGCGGCCCCCCAAAAGCCGCGCACCAAAGGTCACTCTTACCCAGGGTCACTCCTGCGTGTAGTCGAGAGGGTGCGGCCCTTTGAGGTCGAGCCCATGCTCGCGTCTTGGCAACAGCGCGACGGCTGCTTTCGTCCCCAGCTGTTCGGCCTCCGGGAGCCCTCGCTGGGCCCCGGTGACCGCCCAGAAGCGGCTCGACCTCCTGGGGCGACTCTGCGAGCAGACGTGCGACGTCGGAGGCGGAGGACGGCAAGAATTCCAGACGCCCTCGAGTCGTGAAAAGAAGCACCGGGCCGGGCAGTTGGTCCCCGGCCTCCCTCGCCGAGGGACGATCGACTGCTTTCCTTTGGCACACACACACACACACCTCTGAAAGGTGCCAGCAACGGAACGCCGCAGCGTGCCGTGGGCCCGACCTCTCGCGCCCCGAGGCGCGGGCGAAGCGCACGCGGAGGGGCCCGGGCTGCGCAGCCTGGGGGAGGCCGGCGCTGAAGAGCGCCCGCCCCGCCTCGCGGGGGGGGGCCCGGTGACGGTCGTGGGGGGAGCCGGGCCTGTCGCGCGGCATCTGCGGGGGGCCCAGGGCCCCCTGCGAGGCATCTTCGGGGGGCCCAGGGCCCCCTCTGATGGGCTTGTGCTCCACCACCACCACCAGAAGTTGGAGGGGGGGAGGTGTCCTCCTCCTCCTCCTCCTCCTCCTCCTCCTCCTCCCTCCTCCTCCTCCTCCTCCTCCTCCTCCTCCTCATCGACTCCTCCTCTCCACCGTATGGTGCATCTCCGGGGGGCCTTTTGGCTGCCCCCGTCGCGTCGCTCTGCCCGCGCCGAACGTCCACGCTGCAGCCGGGCCGAAGGCCGCAGGCACGCCGAGCCCGCGCCGCCTCCGGGCGCCGAGCCCGAGCCGATGGCAGGAGCGGCAGCAACTTACAGCACAGCCGAGGTCCCCCGGCCTCCTCACCCTCCTCCTCCTCCTCCTCCTCCTCCTCCTCCTCCTCCTCCTCCTCCTCCTCCTCCTCCTCCTCCTCCTCCTCCTCCTCCTCCTCCTCTTGCCTCGCAGGAGGAGGAGTGGAGAAGGAGTCGAGGAGGAGGAGGAGTGGAGAAGGAGTCGAGGAGCAGGAGGAGGAGGAGGAGGAGGAGGAGGAGGAGGAGGAGGAGGAGAAGGAGTCGAGGAGCAGGAGGAGGCGCCCAGGGGGTCCCCAGGAGCCTCCCAGAGGCCTCTTCTGCAGCGGCACTGCGTGGGACTTCGTAGCACTGCCCACTTTGTGCAGGCCATGCGAGGCGGCTGGAGTCGCACCCCCAGCCTCCCAGGAACTTGCAGGATAGAAGAAGAAAAACGGCATACAGTGGAGGCCCATGCCAAGAGACACCCTCCAGGGTGCCCTGGGTTTGTTGGGTTTCGAGGGTGTTGCTATGGAGAGCGTGACGCTCCCACGCCAAGAATCAATGGGCATCATGGGGTCTCCGGGTTGGGTTTCTTGTGGAAGATTTCCTGTGGATCGGTCTGCACTGTAAGCATAAACTTTTGGCGCTCCGCCGGGCTTTCTTGGATCAGCGCTGGGTCCACCTGGCGGCGCGCGCTCCGCGCGCCAGGGAGAGGGGTCCGGCGCCAATCCAAGAAATCCACGCGGAGCGCCAACAGTTTATTTTTATGTTTTTGTTGTTTTGTTAATTCTTTTTATCTTCTCCGAACTTGCATGAGCCTCCCAAGAGCCTCTGCGTCGAACTGCCAGGCACTGGTTGTTTGCGCAGCCCATGCCAGGGCCCCCCCCACCCAGCATGCAGGAGCGCCCCACGAGCCTCCCAGGAGGCTCCCAGGAGGTCTCCCTCACAGTATACTGCATGGGACTGCGCGGGACTGCATGGCACTGCTTACTTGCGCCGCCTGTGCGTGGCTCGAAGAATAAAAACGCCATAAACATAGACTTTTGGCGCTCTGCGCGGATTTCTTGGATCCGCGCTGGGCCCCCCCCCCCCGGGCGGCGCCTCGGGCGCCGCCCCTGGCGCTCTCCGCGCGCCAGGGAGGGGGTCTGGCGCAGATCCACAGAAAAACGAGCGGAGCGCCAAACGTTTCTGTTTATTCAGTTTTTTCTTCTGGGGCCTAAGATCTGCGCTCCATCGGGTACGCCCAGTTCGGATTTCTACACATTTCTGCTGGTCTTTTGGTGACCCTCGTGTCGCGAACAATGTGGCAATATGATGGCAAGGATCTGTTCGTGGGCCGACTTCGACCGCAAGCTGCGACCACGAGAGAGCACCAGATTGCTACACACCGCCTCGGTGCAGACACGGCCGGTCGAGCGTTCCGTCAGCTCTTGGGTCGTCTTGGGGGTCTCTCGGGGCCGTTCTGAGGCCGTCTAGGGGTCCTCTTAGACCGTCTTGGAGCTCTGTTAGGGGTTAGGGTATGCTGTGCCATGTGGTACCGTCCTGCGGCCCTGTTAGGTCGTCCTGAGCCCCCCCTTCCCTCCTGGAGCATCTTGGGGGAATCTGGGCCTTCTTGTTGCCCCTCTTGGGCCGTCTGATAGGCTGGGAGCCCCTTGAAGCCGCCTTGGGGCAATATCGAGCCATCTTGGGCAATCGTTGACGTTTAGAAGACAGACACGGCGAGTGTGCCAAAATCATACAGAACCCACCGTTTGTTTTGTGATGTTGGCTTCTTTGGGGTCTCCTGGGGGTCCTCTTGGACCCCATCTCTGGGCGTCTGGAGCCATCTTGGAGGCGTCTTGGGCCTTGTTGGACTCCTTATAGCCATCAAGGAGCCCTCTCGGGCTATCTTGGGGCAAATGTGGGCTTGGGGCCATCTTAGGTCCTTCTGGGCTGACATCCCACACGGTTGGAAATAGGTTGGGGGATTTGGCGAATTTTTGCCCGGGAGGGGAAAGTGGGGAGAGAATTGATGATAACAACGCGTTGCCTCGCATCTGCATGACCGCGCAGCTGAAGAAAAACCGTTGTTTGAACTTGTAATGAGGCGCAGAAGTTGTGAACCAAGTTTGACCATCCTGCGCCTTCTTGGAAGCCATGCTTGAGCCACTTGTGGCACTGTTAGAGCTACCTGGGATATTGCGAAGGCCTTACGGCCGGTGCCGCCGACCCTGGAAGACGACACCCACGATGAAGGTGGCGATTCGGCACCCTCTGGGACCGTCTTGGCGGCTTCTTGGGGCACTCTTGGCCGGTGTGAAGCTTTTCTAGGTCCCGGGATTACATTTTCGTTTAGGGTGGCGTCCCCCCCCCCTCCCTGGCGAGGAACGGATCAAAGGGAAGGCCCCTCCCGAGGAGGAGGAGGGAGGTAGGAGGGAGGAGGGGGAGGTGAAGAGGGGGGAGGAGGACACTCCCCCACATTTTCGGGATGGGCAAAACAATAAGAAAAGCAGGCCGGGGGGGGAGGGTGCGTATCTGGGTGGCGACCCCCCCCCAGGACCCCCCCCCGGGACCCCCCCCCGGGACCCCCACCCCCCCCTCGGCGGGGAAGGGATCGAAGGGAAGAGGCTTCCCTTCGATTCAATTACGATGGAGCTCATTTTCGTTGAGGGTGGCGCGGTAGCTCATTTACGATGTAGGTCATTTTCGCTAAGGGTGGCGCGCCGAGGACGACGCGTCTTCCACACGCCGACAGGGTCGGCGGATTTGGGATGCACTTCCAAGAGGTCGGAGATTTCCGCCCTGAGGCGAGCTTGGCGACGTGGAGTGGGAATGCAAGTGTGTTCGCCTCGTGCCGACGCGGCGGCGACCCCCACCGCGGGCGTTCCACTGAACGCCATCAGTGGCTCCGGATCGGCCAACAAAACGATCTGGCGACCGAGAATCGAGCCGAACGAAAGGGGGGGATAGGGAAAGGGGGGGCTACAAAATCTGCTACATGCAGCTGATTTCGGCCCCGCCGCCGGCCATTTCCTCGATACATGGGCGCCTCCTGGCGACGTTAGCTGATTCTCAACCTCCCCCTTTGCTATCCCCCCATTTCGCCCGGCCCGAGAGAAGCCGCCGATCGCTCGAGGTCGGGCGATCCGCGCTGTGTCAGCATGCGAACGCTGGGGACGTCACGACGCGAGCCTGCCGCAGCCATTTTGGCCCCACGGCGAACACTGTACGGTGGGGGTGTTGCTCAAGGAATGTGCCCAGAATGTTTCAAACCCTGGTGTTGAGTCGGGCAGGTCCATCTACAGGGGGATTATTAAAAAAATGGTCAAACATAGTCTTGGGACGATCTTTCTATGATGTTATACTTTTGGTGTATTTTTCATTTTTCGCCCAACATCCGCCTGTAGGGGGACATGCCGCCCGACCTACCCCTGGTGGGTTCCCTGTCTGAGGAGGGGGGCAGGGATGCCCACGGCCGCATCCACGACCGGAGTTCCGTCGGCCTCCAGATCCTGGACCCGTGAGGCCGCCGGGGGCTGCGAGGTCACCACGCGGTCCGTCACCACATGGTGTCTGGGGCCCCCAAGGGTGTACAGTGAGCGGCTTGAATAAGGAACTCTTGGTTTTCTAAAGGGGCTCGGTCGTTCCTTAGGCTTGCATGCGTTATTTTTCGTTCCTGATGTGTTATGTATTACTTACCGTTCCTGATGCGTTACTTGTCCCTTAGGTAAAAAGGGGCTTCGTTTCTTATTTATCGTTCCTTAGGTCAGGTCGATGACTGTATGGGGCCCCGAAGGTTCCTTGACCCGATGCCCTCGCCGCAGTCTCCCCTCGCGGCCGCGTCCCCGCCACAGCGGGCTGCCGCCGCCGATGCCGCGGGCGCGCCGCCGATGGAGCCGCTGAAGGCGCTCATCCGCGAGCGGCTCCATGCCTCGCCGGCCGTGGCCGGGCTCCTGGAGCAACGGCAGGAGCTGCGGGAGGACCCCGACGCGCTGCTGCGGGCGCTGGAGGATCGGGGGCACCCGGGGGGCGGCACTGCACTGCAGCGCGGCGGCCGTGGTGCTCGGGCGTCCAGGGTTGCCTCCGAGGCCCAGAGGTTGGCGCCAGCGTCAGTATCTTGGCGGCGCGCAGAAGGGGGTAGGGGGAGGGGGGAAGGCTTCTTAGAAGCACCCTGCTTCTTAGAAGGCCTCGGCCTTACGTCTATAGAGAAGGCCCGCGCCTTCTAAGAAGCAGGGGTGCTTCTAAGAAGCCTTCCCCCCTCCCCCTACCCCCCTCTGCGCGCCGCCAAGTATCGGCGGTGGGCCTCCACCGAGGGAAGACGAGCCCAGTCTCGGTGGTGGTGCTGTTGTTCGGGCGTCCTGGGTGGCCGAGAGCTTGTTGCCACCGAGGCCGAAGCCGAGCATCAGCTTCCCCCGTGGAGGCGCTCCCCCGTGATGCGGTTGGTGCCCTTTTCCGAGCCTCCAAGAGGAGCAGGGCCTGGTCGAGGACATCTTCACATCCCTCGAGTCTTCTCTGCAGAAGAGCCATGCGCCGGTCCAGGCCGCAGCATCGAAGAAGAACAACAGCGGCACGCACATACACTTTCGGCGCCCCGCGCGGACTTCTCAGATCTGCGCCGAGCTCCCCCTTGGCGGTGCCCCCCTCGCGCCCGAGCTCCAGCGCCGACCCCACAAGTCCGCGCGGCTACCTCCGAATGTGAGTGGCCATGCCGCTTTTTTTGCTCCTCTGCCAGCAGCGCCCGTGGCCCCGCCGCCCTCGAGCGCGCCCGCGGCGGCAGCGCCGGCGCGCGGTGGCGCCGCGCTGTGGGCCCGCGCGGGAGGGCCCGGCTGGCGCCTGCGCCTGCACCTGCTGGAGGGCAGGGCCTTCCTGGACTACCTGGACGAGCGGGACGCGGCAGGCCGAAGGGGAGGACAAGGTACCGATACCGTGGCTCGTCCTGGGGAGCCCTCGCCGCCACTGCTGGACGCTCCTCGAAGGGGCTGGTCAGAAGCTCACCCCACCCACGTGAGGTCCGTGGAGTTGCGCGGTGTCGGTGCCGTGTTGGCTTCCTCGAGGCCGCGAGCTGCAGTGGCACGTGGCCTTTGGCGCCCAGCGCTGCCGCGGCCACGTCGTGCCTGCCACGGTGGACCCCAGGTTCGACGACACGCTCTTCCTGACGCTGCCGGGCGCGTCGCGCGCGGGCCTGCTCGAGGCAGGCGGCCGCACACCGGTGCACCTGGCGCTGGTGTGCCGCGGCGCGTCCGGGCATTTCGGAGAAGGGAAGCGGCAACGGCCATTAACTTTCGGGAGTCCGAGCGGACTTGCTGGATCGTCGCTGGACGCCCCTCCCTGGCGCGCCTCAGCGCGCCAGGGGCGACGCCAGCAGCGCCGCCCAGGGGGGGCCCGCACCGATGCGAGGAGTCCGCGCGGAGCTCCGAGAGGTTGCATGCCGTGCCGTGCTTTCTTCCTCCAGCATCGCCCGGACCCTTGGGACGCGGGCCCTGGCGCCCTGGTGTGCAGCCACTCGCTCGACTGGCGAAGCTGCCTCGCGGCGGCGGGGCCGAAGAGGCTCACGGTGGAGCTCCACGGCGTGGGCAAGCGCCACCAGCTCTCCGTCGGCGTGCTGCACGCCGAGGTCGAGCTGTCTCCCGCTGGCCCTCCGGAGGCCGTCGTCGCACACTCGGGCGTGGTGGCGCAGCTCCGCTCGGAGGAGCAGCGCCGCGAGGAGGTGATGAGGCGCGTCTTCGAGGAGCTCGACAGGTGGTGGGCAGACTACCACGACCTGTACCGCTCGCGCCACGTCAGGTTGTTCGCCCAGACGGAGTGCCGCCTGTTCCTCCCGGTCACCTCCTTCGTGACGCCGCTGGAGGCTGGGCGGGCGATCGACAGCCCGTACCACGCGCTGAGGTGGGTCGCGCTCCTCCCCACAGAGCCGACGGGGCCCGCCGACCTCGCGGAGCCGTGCTGGCACACGTTCCCGGCCCTGTGGGCGAGGGGGCACTGCACGCCCGAGGAGAAGGCACTCCTGCTGTGCAGCCTGCTGCTCGGCTGGTCCCTGGACGCCTGGTGCTGCCTCGGCACGGACACGAAGGGCCAGCCGCACGCCTGGGCGGTGGTTCGCGACCAGGGCGACGCGTCGACGCCATCTGGCGTGGCCTGCTGGGATCCACGAACCGCCTCCCGAGTCACGATGGACGACCCGCGGTACCTCGCCGCGTACACCTCGATCGACGCGGTCTTCAACCACCGGCGCCTCTACGTGTGCCACTCCGAGACGGCGGCGAGGGTGTCCTTCGACTTTGGCGACGCGCGTCTCTGGCTGGCGGTGCCGCTGGACGAGGAGGCCGTGGACCTGCTGAGGCTCTACCCGATGGGGCCGCAGCCCCCGTACGCGGCGCTGAGGCCGCGCCTGTGGCCGCTGCCCGCCGAAGCCGAGGAGCTGGAGTGCGCCATCGAGCAGCGCATCAGCATGGCCGTCCAGGCCCACCGCGAGGCCGCCGGACTGCCCACCCGCTTCGACGAGCACCTGGCGCAGCTGCTGCACGTGGTGCTCTCCGGCTGCGAGGCGGAGCGCTCGGGGTCGCAGCCCCGGGCGTCCCTCTTCGAGGCCATCGCGCGCCGCGAGTGCGGGCCGCACGAGGTCCTCCAGGCGATCCCCGTCCAGTTCAACCACCTCCGGCTGTCCTACTTCTGGCCTGCCCTCGTCGACCGCCCCAGCGTGCGGGAGCTGCTCGCCACGCCACCGCCCGCGGCGTCCTTCGCGGTGCGCGCGCGGGTGGTGCCCTTTCCCGAGGGCGTCGTGGCCGTGTGGGTGGTGCTCGCCGGCCGCGGGCGCCCCAGCTGAGGCCGCGGGCGGGACACCCATCAGGGGAACAGAAAGTGGCATAAACATAAAAGCTCGGAGGTCCGCGCAGATTTCTCGGATCGGCGCTTGACCCCCCTCCCTGGCGCGCGGAGCGCGCCAGGGGCGGCGCCGGAGGCGCCGCCGGGGGGCCCCAGCGCCGATCCGAGGAATCCGCGCGGACCTCCGAGTTTTTAATGTTTATGCCACCTTTCGTTCCCCTACCCAGCCAGGTCCACGGCCTCCGGGCCGCGAGCCCTCGTGGATGGGGGGGGGGGGGGGGCGGCGTCTGTGGCAGGGGCCCCGCGCTGGGAGCGGCCTGGAAACCAGGCCGCGAGGGCGCAGGGTCGGCGGGTGCCGCGGGTCGGCGACGCGCGCGCGCGCGCGCTCGCACTCTCCGGCGGAGGGTCTGCTGCCGGGTGCCTGCGGCGGTGTCTGCCGCCCGGTCGCCACGGCACTCCCTGTGGTGGCGGCCCTCCGTGGGCCGCCCAGGGCAGTGGCAGCTCGTGCGTCGGCCCTGCAGGGCCGCAGCGCGGGTCATGCTCTCCCGCAGGCTCGCCAGGGGCCAGTACCGTCAAGCCGCATGGTGAGGATCAGCGATTTTCCAAGGCTGCCCTCGCATCCTTGCCCCTTCGGCCCACCCTCAGCGGCTTTCGCAGGCCGACCTCGTTCGAGGACCGTTTGTCCATGGCCCTCCAGGGCCCTCGCATCCTCACCGCGCTTCCCTACTGCGCGGCTTGATCCTGCTCGGGATAGCTGTCTTCCCCGGGGCCCAGGGGGTCCGTGGTATACGGGGCACCTCTCTCTATCCCGGATCCCAGGTCCCAGTGGGCCGTGGCACGTAGGCAGCAGTTCTTTGTCCCCGGTGGAGGAGAGGGAGACGGCAGAGAGAAAGTCGGGGGCGGAAAAGAGGGGGGTGATGACTAGGGGGGGGTGGATATCATGGCGTGGGCCATGATCTTTCCCCAGATCTCATGGCGCCTCTTCTTATGTCATTACGTCCCTGGGCCCCCCGCTGGGCCGCGCACATGCCGCCGGTCATGATTTGCACCCCCCCCCTCTTGGACACCCCCCTCTTTGCCGCTCCCGATTGTCCCCGGTGGAGGAGAAGGAGACGGCAGAGAGAACGAGAGAGAGAGGATCATTTTTCCAGACAGCACTTAGCCTTACGGCTCTCCACTACGTTCGTGCCAAATGGCACGATGGCGGATTTCCCAGCAGAGGTGTTCTTATCCTGCTGCTGGACGGCACAACATTGCTTGGTGCAATGTCCGGGCATGGTCTGCAGATTTGGTATGTCGTCCGCCTTCTGCCCCAGAAAAAGAAGAAAAACAAGGCATGCAACTCTGACAGCGCTATTGAACAACACCTCAAGAGACGACTTGGCGCGTCACTGCCCAGATGCCATATTCGGCGGCCGTTGGCATCTTGCCGATCTCACTCCAGCACCTACAATTAGTCAGGAGAAATGGAAATGATTCTGTATCAGATGCACGACTGGTCGACAGCTCTGCTGACACGAGGTCTAATGTAATGTGTTGCTTCCTGGCACCATGGAATCACTCGCCGTTGCGATGTTCTCTCTTGCACTCGGGCGTGTGAACATAGCGCAGCCCACTCTCTTGACGACCCGGGGGCGCCAAACGCTTTGGAATTACGTGTCCCGGGGCCGCTTCACTGAACATAGAGAGGCTCCTGGCCTTCCTCGCTCCTCCGAAGTCTGCTCCTCCCTCCCTCCCTCTCCCCCCCCCCTGTCCGTCCCTCTCC